TGCTGCTGCTGCTGCTGCTGCTGCTGCTGCTGCTGCTGCTGCTGCTGCTGCTGCTGCTGCGCTGCAGAATTGCGGGGGCTCTTTGTGGGTCCGCACTTTGGACGGAGTTGTTGTTCCCTTTTTAGCTGCTGATTTGCTGCCGCTGGCTTTCAGAAGACTGGGGGATTTGCTGGAGGAAGACGCAGAAGGAGGGGTGGGGTTGTTGTGCTGCAGCAGCAGCAGCAGCAGCAGCAGCAGCAGCAGCAGCAGCAGCAGCGGTAGCGGCAGCAGCAGCAGCAGCAGGAGCGGGGGAGAGGTTGTGCAGAAGCAGTTGATGTAGTGGCAACGCCCTTCTGCTGGCGCAGAGGGGGAGATGTTGGGGGCAGGGTTTAGGGTTTAGGGTTTAGGGTTTAGGGTTTAGGGTTTAGGGTTTGTGCTTGCAGTCGTCCGATGAAGACTCGAACTACTCCAGCGAAGGCTCCGAAATGGCAGAGGGGGATTGGACTTATGGCAAGAGTTTGAAAATAAATAAATTAAAATGAATTAATTTGAAATAAATTAAATTAAATTAAATTAAATTAAATTAAATTAAATTAAATTAAATTAATTATTTAAAAAGAATTAAATCATTGAATTGCAGCAATGAACTAATTGTCGCATTTGTACAAACACAAACAACAGCGTCAGCGAATTCATCCAGTGCTGCATTAAAACAGCTTTTTATTCATCTGCTGCTGCTGCTGCTGCTGCTGCTGCTGTTGCTGCTGCTGCTGTTGCTGCTGCTGTTGCTGCTGCTGCTGCTGCTGCTGCAGAGGACTCCGGCTCTGACAGCACCAACATAACTTCTCTCTCTGGCAACTCTGAGGGCAGCAGCAGCAGCAGAGACAATCCCTAGTCTTCATAAAAAGGCCCCCAGGGGGTCCCCCAGGGGGCCCCCCTAGGGGCCCCCAGGGGGCCCCCCTGGGGGCCCCTCTGGGGGCCCCCTGGGGGACCCGGGGGGCCCCCAGCGGCCCTCTGGGGCCTCTTGAGGGTCCCAAGGGCCCCTCTGGGGGCCCCAAGGCCCTTAACATCAGGTTAAGGGGCCCCTAGGGTCCTTAGGGTCCTTGGGGGCCCCCCTTTGGGGGGGGCCCCTTGGAGGGCCCCGTTGGGGGGCCCCCTTGGGGGGGCCCCCCTGGGGAGCCTCCTTGGGGAGACTTCCTTGGGGAGGCCCCCTTTGGGGCCCCTTACTGGGGCCCCTGTGGGGCCCCTTGTGGGGCCCCTTGTGGGGCTCCTTGTGGGGCCCCTTGTGGGGCCCCCTTGTGGGGCCCCTTGTGGGGCCTCTTGGGGCCCCCAAACAGCAGGTGGGGCCCCCAGCGGGGGCCCCGGGGGGCCCGCTGCTGCTGCTTGTGGGGTCCACGGGGGCCCCCGCTGGGGGCCCCCGTGGACCCCCAGGGGGCCCCCTGGGGGCCCCCAGGGGGCCCCCTGGGGGCCCCCTGAGGCCCCTCGGGCTATAGTGGAGCCCCGGGGGTTTCTTTATTTATATTTATTCAAAGTTAATTTACTAAACGAAGAATATTTTCTGTAGTTAAGAAGAAACTTGAATTTATATTTAAGAGATTTTCTCGCACTTGATTATTTTACTGTTTTCTCCCGCGATAGAGGCGCTCCAAACCCTAAACCCTAAACCCTAAACCCTCGCTCTAAACCCTAAACCCTAGCCTAAGACCCAACCCCCAACATCTTAAGCACAGCACAAAACAAAACCCTCAATTTCAATTAAAAAAGAACTAATTTTCCGCAACAAACAAACAAACAGTCTTCATTTTGCAAGGGGGCCCCTGGGGGCCCCCTGGGGGGCCCCCCGGGTTCCTGGTACCCACTAGGGGCCCCATGGGGGGCCCCTGGGGGCCCCGCTGTAGTGAACACGTGAGCTCGAATAGTTTTAGTTTTAATTTTCAAAATATTTATTTTAATTTACTTTTAATTGCTGCTTTATCCATTTGAAACGCTCCCGGAGCTCGCCGAGCTGTATATACACCCCAAACACCTAGGGGCCCCCGGGGGCCCCCCCCTCCATGGCGCTTCGCAGAAGCCGCGGGCTCGCTGTACCCTTTCTGGGGGGCCCCCCCAGGGGCCCCCCTCACGGGGGCCCCTCCTACAGGGGCCCCCAAGGGGTTCCACGTGGGGGCCCCCCCGGGGGCCCCCGTGGGGGCTCCTCAGGGGGGCCCCCGAAGGGCCCCCCAGGGGGCCCCCACGGATCCTACGCCCCCGCGGCTGCCAGCAGTGCTGCCTACAGGCCGGCTTTGCTGGGGCCCCCCTTGTCCCTAGGGGGGCCCCCCAGGGGGCCCCCAGGGGGCCCCCCAGGGGGCCCCCCAGGGGGCCCCCCAGGGGGCCCCCCAGGGGGCCCCTCATGGGGGCCCCCTTGGGCCCCAGCAAGGGCTTTTTCGAATGCAAGAATGGAACTGATGCAGAAAGAAGAAAAAGAGTCATTTAAAGAAAACAGTAATGAAGAAAAAAGCAAAAAGCAACAGTTGGAGGGGGG